GGAGTCCCAACTCTGAGGATGTCCATCATTCGATAAACGAAAGGAGGAGGTCTCAGGGACTGCGTCAACCAGGACGTCGCATAAAGCCAAACGGCTGCAGTACAACAGGATTCAACCGTCCTCTTCTGCTGGAAACGAACCTTCGAATCTCTTGTTCATACACTTCCATACGAAATAAAATACCCAATAATAATGTTATCTCAGGAGATTCATCGAAACCCAGTTACTCTTGATATCTACAATGTTGCTTCCATGATTGCTTCCAGTGAAAGAATGCACTTAATCATTGGTGGAAGCCTAGAAGAAGAGATGGCAATAGCGACAGATGAAACTGATCTGAAAACACGAAAAAAATGTAAAAATAATAGGCCTCGCCAGCAACTATTCATTAGCTCCTTGGCGAAGTATGAAAGTGCCATCATCTGAGCATATGACCAATCTGAAGAAGCGTCCGTCAACATGACTACGCATCACGACGTACCTTTGCGAATGGACTAATAAAGCTGGTCAGGCAACAGATTCCAGCGTCAGCAAAAAGTTTGGCAACCTCAGCGACACGACGAATATTTTCCTCACGGTCGGCCTGCGAGAAGCCGAGATTTTTGTTCAGCCCAATTCGAAGGTTGTCACCATCCAGAGAATAGGCCGAGACGCCCAATTGGATAAGTCGGTGCTCTACAGCGAAGCAAAGAGTCGTCTTGCCCGATCCACTCAGTCCTGAAACAATGGAGCATAAACACACAAAGGCTTGCATGATCGGAGGCCAAGGCTAATGGTTAAATGTAAAAAAGTAACTCTTTATCCCGCTTCTAGTCTCGAACTTGTGCATCTCAGCGTCATCAGCCGAGAGGTACGTCTCGGCTCCACCGGTCAGTTGGCCGTGCAGAAGACAAAATATGAAGCCTTCACAAGGACGGATTCTGACTTGTTACGCCATGAGCGGTAGGATAGACTGAACAAATGACATGTTTCGCAAGAAGTTGTGCAATGCAGTGATATTTGGCTTAACAACACTTTAATAGAATATATGAAGACCAAGCTATTGTGGCCTGTGTTATGGCCGCAGTCCTTTCTGATTTACAGCAGTGGGTTGACCTCGTTGTCGCAAATTGGTCTTGTCGTCATGGCGACTAAGTAGAACGCACCTAGTCCGAAGTCGTCTGCCATAGTAGTTGTCATGATTCCCAGCATCAGACAGTGGACTGCATTATAAAACTTTTCGCCGGCATCTTAGTAGGCATCATCAGTCAGTTTTGCCATTCTCCGCCCCAAGATACGAACTCGTCAAAGAGACAAGTGAACAGAAACGTTTCGTCGGCATCGTGATCGGCATCAGCAGTGAGTGCTGTCATTCTCCGCTCCAAGCTACGAACTCGTCAAAGAAACTGCGACCATACCAGAAGTCACAACATTTTGGTCTTCACATCTTCATATTCATCTCCTTTAGCATTTCTTTCAGTGCACCTTTCATTTTAACTGTTGAGCCTTTTGGTAGCTCCCGAGAATATTTTCCATCTTCTCTGTATATTCCTTCCTGTCCATCATCGCTGCGACACCTTGTCTTGTCGCAGCTTGTCTTGACATATTGTCTCTTTGACGAGTTCGTTGCTTGGTGCGGAGAATGGCAGCACTCATTGATGATGCTGGAGATACGTTTGAGAATGTACCAAGTCCACTGTCAGATGCTGAGAATCATGCCAACTACTATGGCAGACGACTTCGGACTAGGTGCGTTCTACATAGTCGCCCTGACAACAAGACCAAGTTG